TTCATGGTTCATTCATTCTGTATCACCTCTCAAGAATTCATTTCTCTCTGAGGTTTAATAAAATATTCATCACATACTCCACTTTCTTGATCCAAAATTTTGTCTCTTAATGGACACTGGTGTTCTTTTCACCTTTTTGCAACAATTAAAATGGATATAAATGTGCCTGAATCTTTACTTTAAATTATTTTGAATACAAGAGTGATTTTGCTTGAAATTTTTCATTATGTATTTTTGAAAATCATTTTCTCGGCATATGCTTGTATATTATACAATGTAAGCTTTCAATCAATATAAGAAAATTTGTTCAATAGGCACCACAATGAATTACAGAACATATTTTTCTGGAACTTCTTAGCTCCCTATTGTGCATGTCCTAGTTGACAGGCACCTAGGCAATTTCCAATTTTCATATTACTTTTTTCCCATATATTTGAAATTTACATGTTTGTTACTAAATACTCCAACACTCCAAATTCATTTGCATTTTATTTTCCTTTCTTCTTTTTAAATTTTTTTCAGCCACTCAGACCAAAATTAGGTCCAATGGATAAATAATCTGGAGGTACTGAAAATTTTTGTTTATTAGTTTTTTTTAAAAAGTCCATAAGGGACAAACTACAACTTTACAGTATCAAATGTTAAGTTATAGACCACCTGAAGAATAGATCTGATACCTTCAGGAGGAGTAGGTGGGAAAGAGCAGGGAGGGGAAGAAATGGGTGGAGAGAGATGATAACTGTGTAAAGGGGAAGATAGTATTCTACAAAAGGGAGGAGAAGAGACAAAGGGGAAAGCAGAGTAATAAATTGTTTGATTTCACACGTAGTTTGTTATTGAGTACAAAACTGATGACCTGAAATATCAAACTAAAGGAAAAAAATCACAAAAGAACCAAGCCAAACTCACTGCCATCTTGTTGACGTTGACTCACCGGGACCCTAAAGAGCAGAGTAGAACGGCCCGGAGACTTTCAAAGGCTGCCAATCTTTATAGCACTTGTCTGTCAATTTGTCCAGCTGTGGTGTCTTGTATGTTCCTGTGATGCTGGAAGCTATGTCACAGATTTCAAATGCCCAGAGGGTCACCTAAAGTGAACAGGTTTCAGCAGAGCCTCCAGGCTAAGAACAGGCAATGAAGAAGGAATAGGTTGAAACATGATACTTGGTCAGTTGACCTCCCTCTGGATAGACCCAACCTGAATTTGTTTTAGGTGCAAAGATCTCTAGCTTGATTCTGGCTTTTTAAAAAAAATCATTTTATTGGGGGCTTGTACAACTCCTATCACAATCCAT